CTTGTCGCCATTTTGGTTTTGGTGGGTGTTGACGGGTTGCTTTACTGAAACCTGTTTTATCAGCAAGGTCTTTATGAGCTGTATTTTGTGCTGACCTCCTATCTCATTCTAAGACTTACAATGCCTTAACCATCTGGAAATGCAGCCCAGGAGGTTTCAGCCTCATTTTACCCAGCTCCTATTTAAGATGGAGTTGCTCTGGTTCACACGTCTCTGACAAGTTGAAAACGCATTTAATATAGCTAACCTACTGAACCTCATAGCTTAGCCTAACTTAAACATGCTCAGAACACTTACATTAGCATACATTTAGCATACAGTTGGGCCAAATCATCTAACACAAAATGTATTTTATAATGAAGTGGTGAATATTTAATGTAATTTATTAAGTATTGTGTTGAAGGTAAAAAACAAAGTGCAATCTTTATTATGTTAGCCAAAGTCATTGTCAGTTTATTAAAAACAAAACATCCCGCACCATCATTAGCTGAAAAATCGTTTTGAACCATTGTAAGTTGGGGACTGTCTAAAGAATTGAGAATTGGCTCAAGTAAATACGGAAGCTGATTAGTATGGAAATCTGGAGTCAGCAAGTTGGAGACCCAGCAGAGGTAAGGTACCCTTCAAAAGCTTGCAGCCTTGAGGCTCAAGAAGAGCCAATGTTTTAGTTCATTTAAGAAGGTAGGAAAAGACCAATGTCCCAGCTCACACAGTCAGGCAAAAGGAGCTCCGCCTTACTCATGGGAGGGTCAGCCTTTTTGTTCTATTCAGGCCTCCTAGCAAGAGGATGAGGACCATCCACATTGGGGAGTGCGGTGGGCTTTACTCAGCTAGAGATTCAAATGTTAATCTTTCAAAAAACACCCTCACAGACACACATAATAACGTTTGACCAAATATCTGAGCCACCCTGTGGCCCTGTCAAATTGATAGTTTTTCCTTAGGTTATCTCCACTGTCATTTAAATATTAATATTTATATTATATTATATATTGATGTAAATATTAACATTTATTACCCAGGGGTTGTGTTCTCTTGATAATGTTCTATTTTTTTAATCTCTGTGAAAAAATGTTTTATGAAGTGTGGAATTTATCTACTATACTGACATATTCTGCATTAATCTTTCTTTATATTGTGGTTGTCAATCACGGATACAATTTCAGAGAGTAGGAAATGAAGATTCAGCCTTTAACTCCTACACAATCCACAGTGTGTTTTTCCCCTCAGAATTGTCATAAAACCTGTTGTATTTTTAGATTTTTTAATTAACAGCTAAAGTCATATTCTAGTAATACTTTAATAATCTAGATTTCATATCTTTAGAGTAGAAGCCTGCATCATATTTAAAACCACTGCAGAGAGTTTGAGGTTTTCAATTTAATCTCATATTAAAAATTTTTGCACTCTGAAGCCTTTCATTTATTGCTTTAAAAAAATGTTGAAACTCAGAGTTCAAATGATTAAAAAAACTCTAAATCTGGATACAGTTAATGTAAACTTTGTATATCTCTGCAGATGACTTTCACTGCCCCTCATTGTCAATCAAGAGCATTGAGATAAGGACTGGAAAATCTTAAATATATGTTAATATTTATATAAACATATTAAATATATGTGTGTGTCACACATACACATACAGAGCAAGACAAAGAGCAAGAGAGGGACAGTAACTGTTTTCAGAATATCAAAAGTTCTGCTAATCGGCCCTTGTGCAGAAGCTTGTCCTCACTCTCCACACAGGAGAAACAGAATGAGCTTTAAGACAGAACTTCCTGCTGAATTAAATGTGTCCATTACTACTGACAGAATCAGTGAGGTTAAGCCCCTCTGAAGATGACAAGATTAATTGTCACTATTATGACACTAGAAATGAGATACTGGGATAAGATTTCATTACTGTATTATCATAGGTTTACTTGCTTGGCAAAGTTTCACTTAAGAAGGATGCGGAAATTCTGAACACGAGTTAGCATTTCCAGCACGATGGTACAAGACGTATTATTGAGTAAGTCAAAGATATGCCACAAACATAAATTTCAAGGAATGGCATAAGGCCAGGGTGGTGGCTCACATCTGTAACACCAGCACTTTGAGAGGCCGATGCAGGTGGATCACCTACGGTCAGAAGTTCAAGACCAGCCTGGCTAACATGGTGAAACTCTGTCTCTACTAACAATACAAAATTAGCCAGGCATGGTGGTGGGCACCTGTAGTCTCAGCTACACAGGAGGCTGAGGCAGGAGAATCGCTTAAACACGGGAGGCGGGGGTTACAGTGAGCCGAGATCGTGCCACTGCATTCCAGCCTGGGTGACAAGAGTGAGACTCCGTCTAAATAAATAAATAAGTATAAAAGGATGGCACGAATGCAAAACTCTGTGCACAACATGCTGCAGTGCAGCCTGCTGTCTGACAGAAACATCACGAAGATACAAACACAGACTAAGAAAAAAAGTTTTAAAAGTCAAAGGGACAGGTAACTGAAAAATGGAATGCAATATGTAGGAAATGTTACTTTTTTATTTTTATTTTTTATTTATTTATTTATTTTTGAGACAGAGTCTCGCTCTGTTGCCCAGACTGGAGTGCAGTGGCACGATCTTGGCTCACCACAAGCTCTGCTTCCCGAGTTCATGCCGTTCTCCTCCTTCAGCTTCCCAGAAATGCTGCTTTTTGAAAGTGACCATTCTTATGCTAATAACGTCATCCATGAGACAAGAACATGGTCAAAATATAATAGTGCATACCAAAAACAATACTGCCTTGTCCAAGTCAGTCCCATTAGTCCTGGCATGATTTCGATAGCACTCCTTTCAAAGAAAGAATGTCCCAATTTGAATGAAGAAAGCTATGTAATCATCCTAATCATGACAGCAGGATTAAGTCGTCAATTGTAGTAAAATCTTACAACAGATTATGATTGGCTGTGTAGTGACAAAATAATTGGAAAGTGGCAAAAACTGGTCATAGAGGGTCTCAGACTGTATTTGTTGCCTTGAAGACATCATGGGAGAATTAAACTTAATAAATGACCTCTTCCTGGATGAAATAGCCTTCTTAGACCAAATATTTCTGCAAGGTATGGATTGAATCTTCATACCAAGTCCAACGAATTTTGTCCTGCTGGAAACTAACTGAGAGGTAAATTAATAGGAATTAAGGTGAGATGAACAAGGTGAGTTGCAAAAGGGCAGGCTCAGATCCTGTTGTCTAAATTTTAGTATTTGCTCATGGTGATTTTTTTGTATTAATTTTAATATTTTAAAATAATGTATTAAAGCATTATTTATTTTGACTGTTAAGTTTTGTGCTTTCCCATTTAATTGTGTTCCTAAGGGGAGTACCTCACTTATCTCACCTTGTAACAGAGTCTATACAAGGTATACCTGGGATTAGATAAAAAGAACAATGAAGTCAGCACGTGATATGAGGGCTTCTGTTCCAGCTACCTGAAACTAAGTTGCCCTCTTTTAGTGAGTTCAAAGCTGGGGATTCTGTAAATAGACATAGGGGCTGGGAGGTCCCTGCACAAAGAGGTCATATCTGTAAATTAAAGTTTGTGATTATAATAATCTTTTTTTTTTTTTTTTTTTTTTTTTTTGAGATAGAGTCTTGCTCTGTCGCCCAGGTGGGAGTGCAGTGGCACAATCTCAGCTCACTGCAACCTCCGCCTCCTGGATTCAAGCGACTCTACTGCCTCAGCCTCCAGAGTAGTTGGGATTACAGGTGCCTACCACCACGCCCAGCTAATTTTTGTATTTTTAGGAGCGATGGGGTTTTGCCATGTTAGCCAAGCTGGTGTCAAACTCCTGACCTCAGGTGATCTGCCCGCCTTGGCTTTGAGAACAAGAACACCATGTCTGCTGGTGTGTTAGTCCATTTTGTGTTGCTATAAAGAAATATCTGAGACTAGGTAATTTATAAAGAAAAGAGGTTTATTTGGTTCAGGCTGTACAAAAAGTATAATGACAGTATCTGCTTTTGCTGAGTCCACAGGAAGCTTACAATCATTGCAGAAGGCAAAGTGGGAGCTGGTGTATCACATGGTAAGAGAGGGAGCAAGAGAGATGCCATTTCTTTATTTATTTATTTGAGACAGAGTCTCACTCTGTAGCCCCAGGTGGAGTGCAGTAGTGCAATCTCGGCGCACTGCAACCTCTGCCTCCAGGGCTCAAGCAATGCTTGTGCCTCAGCCTCCCGTGTAGCTGAGACTACAGGTGTGTGCCACCACATCTAGTTACTTTTTTGTATTTTAGTAGAGATGGGCTTTACCATGTTGCCCAGGGTGGTCTTGAACTCCTAAGCTCAATCAATCCGCCAGCCTCGGCCTCCCAAAGTGCTGGGATTACAGGCGTGAGCCACTGTGCCGGGCCTAGACTCCTTTAAACAACCAGCTTTTGTGTGAACTAATGCACAGAGGGCTTGTTCATTACCATGAGGAGGGCATCAAACCATTCATGAGGGCTCCACCCCATGACCCGAACACCTCCTACCAGGCTCCACCTCTAACATGGAGGATCACGTCTCACCATGAGATTTGGAAAGGACAGACATCCAAACTATATCAGCTGGTGGTTTGCCCTAAACTTTTCTCCCTGAAGTTTCCTTTTACAGAAATGAAGTTTGTCTTTATCTGATGTCAGCAGATTGGTGTTTGCTGTAGCCTGCTGTATGCCTTTAGTTTTTAAAATAGTCCACATTCTTCACCCTTCCCTGAAAATGTTGCTCTTACGTCAACATAACATGTCTAGTTTCATTCAGTGGTTGAAATTATAATATAGTACTCAGAGTTTACAGCTGTTGTCGTTAAATTTAGGTCATTCTAAATTTATAAGTTAGTTGGGAAGAAAAGAACTGCAAATTCTCAACCCTCATCTCCATTTCTGCCTCTCAGCACTCATATAAAATCATTACAGAAAAAGAAGGAATGCAGCAATAAAACAAGCTCATCTATAACAGGATTAATTTTTAACTCTTTAATTCACTTGTTTCTCATAGGAAGCTACATTAACATGACAGTTGTTTTTGAAAATGCATTGGCGCCGTATTTGAGAAGAGGAAATCGGACCCATGGTCTCTAAAGGACTTCTCAGCAACAATGGCCTAAGCATCTTTGAGAAAAGGCTATGTCTGTGTGTACAACTGACCTGACTGACGTGCACATCAGTTCTCCTAACCACCATCCGGTCTGATAAAGTAAGCCACGTTGGTTGTCTCCCAAAGTTCTCTGTTCAAACCAGTAAACTTAGTTAAATAGGTTGTGAATAGGAAAATCCAAGAGTCACTGGGAAAAGATGTTACAAACTAAAATATTCATAGAAACATTTTTTATGAAAGCAAAGAAAGGAAAAATAAACAACTAAAATGCCTAAAAACCATAAAATGGATAAATAAAATGTGGCAGATGCATTCAGTGGAATATCATATAGCAGTGAAAATTAAGTACATTAATGACATGCATCAGCATGCCTGAATCTCAAAAACTCAAGTTGAACAATAATAGTTTAAAAAAAAAATCACAGAGTTAATATGTGTGTTCCAAGTCTATGAAGTCTTTAAAAAGAGGAAAAACAGGCCAGGTGTGGTGGCTTACACCTGTAATCCCAGCACTTTGGGAGGCAGAGACGGGCAGATCACAAGATAAGGAGACCCAGACCATCCTGGCTAACATGGTGAAACCCTGTCGCTACTAAAAATACAAAAAAATCACATGCATGACATGTGACATATATGTGAACTACATACAGTTCACAAAAACTAAATGTAGATAATGGTATGCAATCACACAAAAGCACTAATATATCAGTGTGTCTATACAAACATTTATGCCTAACTTATGACAATAAATATACTCTCAAATACCTGATCATCATTAAATCTAATATGTAGAATATTAAAATATGAAAGAGGATGCTGTATTTGTTGTTAGTCATTTTTCTCCAGTCTATTTTCTTTGGCATCATTTAACAAATCGGTAGATAACTTTCCTCCCATTCCTTTTAGTGTTTTAAAATCTTTTAAATGATAGCTCTTAGATAATTGACTTATATATTATTTTAAAAATGTTTTTCCTATGGGTTGCTGCAAATCTATCCTAAGTGGCAAAGTTTTAAAAACAATATGGGTCAACAGCATACAAAGCTCTGAAAATGAGAAAAGAAAATGACCAAACCTTTAAGATTCCTAGCATTATTCTGCATATCACCATAATGTTTGCTTGGAGGGAGGCAGGCGGTGAGCTGAACAACCTAATTTATATCTGATGTGCTCCCTGGCCATTAAGGGCAGAATGGGGGCTTGTGGACAGCAGTGCCTCTCGGCATTTCTCTTCACATTCCACAGGCTACAGCAAGTCACATGACAAATCCCGACTCCATTGTGTCAGGGATGTATAATCCTCTTACTTGGAGAACAGCAAATAATTGGGAACAGTAATACAATTTGGCACACAAAACAAATCTTCAGAGAGTGTCAGGGTCAAGAGAAGCATTTATCCAAGAAAAAGTTACTCTAAACTTGCAAAAAGATAAAAATCATTATGCTTGATTAGAAAAAATACAGGATTATTTTCTAATAATTTACTTGACTCTATCCTGACAACATTTATAGGAGTGACATAAAGTCAGACTATTTATAGACTGTGAGTCTATAATTTTGCTAGGTCAGCCAGCAAAATTTAGAAATTATCATGACTCTGTAGTCCAGTGGTTTACAAGTCATAAAAGATATACTTTACAATGAAATAGACCACCAAGTAGAACAACAACAGACCACTGAAATAAACCATCAAATGGCATCCCATAATTTAGAGGTATGATGAAAAACGGAAAGAGTTGTAATTGCTTCTTCTAGAGGTGTCATTTGGTGCTTCTGTTAGAAGGGTTATGGAGGAGGCCGGGCACAGTGGCTCAGGCCTGTAATCCCAGCACTTTGGGAGGCCAAGGTGGGCAGACCACAAGATCAGGAGATCAAGATCATCCTGGCTAACACGGTGAAACCCCATCTCTACTAAAAATACAAAAAAATTGGCCGGGCGAGGTGGCGGGTGCCTGTAGTCCCAGCTACTCAGGAGGCTGAGGCGAAAGAATGGCGTGAACCCAGGAGGCGGAGCTTGCAGTGAAGGGAGATGGCGCCACTGCAGTACAGCCTGGGTGACAGAGTGAGACCTCATCACAAAAAAAAGGGCTGTGGAGGAAAAAGATGGCCAAAATAACTCCCCAAACTGTTTGACACAGTTTGATCTATTTCTAACACCTGGTGGCATTTTTACGGCATAACCTTTAAAAAGTCATTCTAGAATATCTTAATAGATGTACACATCCCTCTGCCTAACTTTTTATGGATGCTATTTGCCTACACAGTGAATGACATTGTATTTCAGCAGAATTTATCATTCAACTTTTAAAAACAAAGCTCCTGCATTTACATCCATTTTCCATATCTCTATGTCATAACGATAATGAATTTAATTAGACGATTTTCTTTCAAATGTGTGCAGCTTCCTTCCACTTCCAAGTCTGAAAGAGGACATTCTATTTTATAGACCACACCATTGCCAAAGAGTGGACGCTGGAGCAAGTGGAAGATTCCACATAGTTTTACTTCCGGTACTCTAGAGACTAGTGGCAAGTGTCTTGGAGATGGCATGATAATACAAATAACTAAATATTACCGAGTTGTCACTGTATATGGCACTACGTTAAATGTTTCATAGGCTTCACTCCTCATCACAACCATTTTTAAAAAATAGCTTTATTGGGATATAATTCACATATCATACAATTCATGCATTTAAAGCATACAATCCAGTGGCTTTTAGTATGTTCAGGGGTTGTGCAGCCATCACCACACTTACTTTTAGGACATTTTCATCACCCAAAAAAGAAACCCCATGACCTTTAGTACTCTTTCCTCATTTCTCTCCTCGTTCCATCTATCCTCTCCTCACCATCCCTCGGCCCCAGGTGATTGCTTATCTTCTTTCCGTCTCTATACATTTGCTTTTTCTGGACATTTAACTATCTAAGTGTAATTATATATCTTTCAGCCAGTATCTTCCCATTGCCACCAACATCCCAGTCTCTGGTAACAACGATTTTACTTTCTACTTCTATGACATAAACTTTATTTATTTATTTATTTTTTTTTGAGATGAAGTCTAGCTCCTGTCACACTGGAGTGCAGTGGTGCAATCTCGGCTCACTGTAACCTCCACCTCCCGGGTTCAAGTGATTCTTCTTCCTCAGCCTCCCAAGTAGCTGGGATTACAGGCATGTGCCACGAAGCCTGGCTAACTTTTGTATTTTCAGTAGAGATAGGATTTTGCCATGTTGACTAGGCTGTTCTCAAACTCCTGACCTAGGGTGATCCACCCTCCTCGGCCTCCCAAAGTGCTAGGATTACAGGCATGAGCCACCACACCCGGCCCAACTTTTAGATTCTACATATGAGTGAAATCATGCAATATTTCTCTTTCTTTGCCGAACTTATTTCACTTAACCTAATGTCCCCTGGGTTCATCGATGTTGTTGAACATAACAGGATTTCTCTGTGTTTTTTGGCTCAATAGTATTCCACTGCGTATATATACCACATCTGAAAAATCCATGTATTCACTGATGAACACTTAGGCTGATCGCATATCTTGGCTGTTGTAAGTAACACTGTAGTAAATGTGAAGATGTTTCTTTGACACACTGGTTTCATTTTCTTTCTATATATGCCCACGAGTGAGATGGCTGGGTCATATTTAAGATTTTGAGGAACCTCCATAATGTTTTTCGTAATGGCTCTTCTACTCTACAACACAACCCATTTGAAAATCTCAGTTTAAAGACGGGAATTATGGTGGATTAGCCATTCATCCATGGTCACTCAGCCAGCAAAGTTCAGAGCCGGGTCAGGAATATCACCTGTCCTCTGCCTCACCTTGAATCATTTCTTGTGTTGCCTTGCAGGGAGGGTGATGCCTGCCCCCTCATGTGTCAGTCTGTTAAGTCCAGTAGTGAAGGAAAGTGTTCACATGTCCATATGCATTGCAGATGAAGGGAGTATGGAAGCTTTGAGGGAGAAATTGCTCTCTTTCTTTCTGTCCTTTTTTTTTTTTTTGAGACGGGGTCTTGTTCTGTCGCCAGGCTGGAGTGCAGTGGCACAATCTCACCTCACTGCAACCTCTAACTCCCTGGTTCAAGAGATTCTCCTGCCTCAGCCTCCCAAGTAGCTGGGATTACAGGCACGCACCACCACGCCCAGCTAATTTTTGTATCTTTAGTAGAGATGGGGTTTCACCATGTTGGCCAAGATGGTTTCGATCTCCTGACCTCATGATCTGCCCACCTCGGCCTCCCAAAGTGTCTGTCCCTTCTTCATTCACCAGCCACAATGACACACAGAACATAGCGGGAGGAAAATAGTTTATATTTATTCCTAAGAAAAGAAACTTCTGTAACCATTCTAAATTTCCAGAAAAACTTATTGTGAGTGCTAAACTAATATTATCCTGACCTAGGACAAATTGCCAACTCCTAGGGGTGAGATTTATAGGAGAAAACCATGTCTACGCTTGAGGCGAGTGCTTAGTAGAGATACAATAGCCAGTTGCTATTATTTCAAGGTTTGTCTGTCTCTAAATATTGCCTGCTTAGGTCTGACTATGCTAAGATTAGTGATAATCTGCTCTGAATTAAAGGTTTAGATGCACTTTTCCCAGGATAAAATTAAGTTTGGGGACTTTCTCTTTTCCTGGGAGCAAAAACCTCAGAAACTAAGTGTGCCATATGCTGGAACATGGAAACATTCCAATAGCCAGAAGTAGAGGGAAGACAAAAATGGCTTCCCTAAAGCAAGGCAAATCAGAGACAGCCAGTCCTGTGGCCACCACTAATCACTTGTAAATGAACACTGCGACATGTTTCAAAAGCCCTCATTCTGACTCTGCCTGATCTGTTACTGAAATGTTAATTATATGCCTAATCTTCTCTTGCAGGCAAAGGCAACAGAGTTGCTAAAAATGATAGCGGGTAAAAGTCTCCAAGGAGAGGTAAGGAGTAAATGGAGCTGGGAGGGAATGGTGTCTCTCAGGACAGAGCCTGGCTCATTGAAAGGGCATAGTCGTACCCTATAAGGGATACCTGCCAGTGTGATCAGGTCTTCTCTGATTTCTTTTTATGAGAAAGCAGAAATCTGATGTTTTTAAATGAGAAATTGGAGTTTTACAAGTTAGCAAAACTGTGCTGTGCTGGGAAAACAGAATAAACCTGAAGGCCAGAGGTGTGCTGGGGCAGTCATTTACAGAATCAGAGCAACTACTTAGCTAGAGCATCATGTGTTTTAATAAGAACAGGGACTACTGTGCTTGTAAATGTCTTTATGCCTTCTAAACATCCTTTCTCCTCAAGTCTATAACGTGACATGGGATGGCAAAGTATTTTTTGGCAGGAACTATTGCGTTGAATATCTTAACCCATTTGTGTTGCTATAAAAAAATTCCTGTGCCGGGCGCGGTGGCTCACATCTGTAATCCCAGCACTTTGGGAGGCCGAGGTGGGTGGATCACAAGGTCAGGAGTTCAAGACCAGCCTGACCAAGATGGTGACACACCATCTCTACTAAAAATACACACACACAAATTAGCCGGGCACGGTGGTGGGCGCTTGTAATCCCAGCTACCCTGGAGGCTGAGGCAGAGAATTGCTTGAACACGGGAGGCAGAGGTTGCAGTGAGCTGATGTGGTGCCACTGCACTCCAGCCTGGGCGACAGAGCGAGACTGAGTCTCAAAAAAAAAAATTTCCTGAAACTTAAAAATGTATATTAAAAAAAGATTTTGCAGCCCATACAGGAAGAATGGCACCAGCATCTACTCAGCTTCTGCTGAATTCCTCAGGTTGCTTCCACACATGGCAGAAGGCAAAGGGAAGCCAGCGTGTAGTGAGATCACATAGTGAGAAAACAGGCGAGAGAGGGGAAGGGGGCTCCAGGCTCTTCACAGCAACTAGCTTTCTTGGGAACTAACAGAGAGAGCGCATTCATCCCCTCTCCCCAGGGAGGCCAGCAATCTTTTCATGAGGCGTCTGCTCCCATGACCCTAACGCCTCCCATTAGGCCCCACCTCCAACACTGGGATTCAAATTTCAACATGAGGTTTAGGAGACAAACATCCAGGCTATGTCACTGTATCCCTAATAGGCTGAAGTAATGTGTTAAAAATAAGTTGTAAATAATTACATGCAAAAACACGTAGCATTTTGGAAACTTTGCAAGATAATGAAAATATTTATCTGGATTTTAACTTAATTCACTCCATATTCTACACAAACATATTTTTAAAAGATAATAAAATAGTTGAGACATTAATATATGTTAGATAACCAATCTACATCCTCAAGAGCTAAGAAAGTGTTAAGTTGCCCTTTCTTAATAAAAACAAAATTTACGATGATAACTGGTTTTTTTGTTTGTTTGTTTGTTTGTTTATTGAGACAGAGTCTTGCTCTGTTGCCCAGGTTGTAGTGATCATGGCTCACTGCAGCCTTGACCTCCTGGGCTCGAGTGATTCTTCCACCTCAGCCTTTGGAGTAGCTGGGACTACAGGCACATGCCACCATATCTGGTTATTTTTTGTAGAGGTTGTGTTTTACCATGTTGCCCAGGCTGGTCTCAAACTCCTGGGCTCAAGCAATCTGCCTACCTTGACCTTCCAAGTGCTGGGCTTATAGCCTTGAGCCACTGTGCCTGGCCTATGACGATAACTTTTTAAAAGACAAAATTAGAACAAATTTTGTTATAGATGTAATTGGCTTCTATTTGTGATTCATGAATCAGGGGAGCCTTCATTCTACAAAATAGGATGAGAGCTTCCACAGACAATGGAAGAACAGTAGGTTTTGTAAAATGAGAACAATTAAACAAAACAACAGACAAAAAGCTGATTGGTTAACATCAGGTTAATCCAGGTTAATTTGTTGTAAGGGTTAAAGCAGAGGGGAGTTCCTTTGTGCACTGACTCATGTAGACCGGAAGTTCCTGTCTTCAGAAAAAACTGCTCTGTTCTGGGACCTGTCTAGTTTCTTAAAGTTTCAGTTTGATTATGTGGCATTTAGCATAAGTGACTACATTTTTGTTGAGTCTGATCTACTGGGGCCTAGTGCAGGATCTCAGTCTAAAACAATGGCCTCCCATAATTTTTATTTAACATAGCACATGAATAAAAATGTGATTATTTAAAAAGTTATTATAATACATTTTGATAAATTTGGTCAAAGTCATATCTCAAATTTAATTATCAAATTATCTCAAATTTAATTGGTTGCAGTATATGTGTCATTTATTTCAAAAATCTTGGCCAACAATGAAATGAAAACCTGTTCCACAAATCACAGTTTAGTTTATTTTCAAATTCAAATGTTACTTGCTTCACTGACTCTAACAAAAGTAAATGTTTCAAAATAATGCAAAAAAAAGAGGTTTGTAAAGTTGGTAAGAAAATATTTGCTGAGCAAATAATCAGATGTTTATTATCTTACCTATGTCATTTCTTATATATTTACATTCACATTGATTTGTATTAGCTATCAAGTTAATCATGTTAAAAAATATGGTACCACAATGAATTGTGTTTGATGTTGAAATTAATATTTAAAGATTTAAAAATTATGAGAGAGTATTCTGTGTTATTTCACACTTAACTGGTGATGTCTTAAAGATTTCTTGCTACAAACTAGTTTTAAAAGACATGAGTTTTATGGGCATTGCATGCATTGCATTGATAAAAGCAGCATTGCATAGGTATTTAACACCAGGCCATGATTGAAACGGCTTCAGAAGACATCATGATGAACTACATACGGAGTAATGGCAAGTTTACTATAAAATTAACATTCTCAGTTGTCACAAGAAATCTGACAGTCACTAAAATGGCAAGTACTGTGTTCTATTTGTGTCCTTTTCAAACATGATTGATAAGAATTTGTTACCTTATTAGCATGTCATAAGTAGACAGCAAAGTATGTTTTAAATTTGAAAATTATTGTTTTCTGCTCATGTTCTACTTTCAGCAATGTACATGGTGATAGTAATGAAAGCAGCCATGAGAATACTCTATTTTCTTCATAGTTAGCTGCCAAATACTTCTTTTTTTCTGTCCAGATCATACTTATATTGCTTTTGTACCTTTGATCATAGTCATAAATTAATACACAGAGGAAGCAGGGCAGTGACAGCTGTACATTTTTCTACAGAAGATCAGCTGTTAAATCAAGAACCAAGAGAACCATCTCAGCCTGGACACTGAGAACCGAAGCTACACCTTCCCACTGATATTAACATGATTTTATTATTCTATTGTTCCATTAGTATTACTTTTTGAGGACTGTCCTACCTCCAGAATGGTTTGATTTTTCATTATAGGAACTTCCCAAATGCTTTATCAACTCTTCAGGGGAAGGCATAGACCGAGTTTACAGCTTGAGTCTTTGAATCCTTCCCCACAAATCCTCACCTCGCTATTTTCGCTAAGCCCAGACTGTTGTATCATGATTCTCACACAATTCTAATCAAATCCTCTCCTTCAGAGACCCATCTTAAACCAAACTTGCAATTCTCGGTAAATTCTAATCTCCCCTTCTCTCCTCTGAGACGCTGATAGCAATTTACAGAGGCTACACTCTCTGCCTTGCCACGGTGTATTTTCTATTGCCGCTGTAACAAATTACCACAAACAGTGTTGTAAACAATCCAGACTTGTTATCCTACAGTCCTCTTGGTCAGAAGTTCAACGTGGGTCTCACTGACCTAAAACCCAGGCATCAGCAGGGTAGAGGTTCTTCCTGCAGGCTCTTGGCTCCTGTGTCTTTGACTTTTCTAGAATCTAGAGGCTGCCTGCTGTCCTCAGTTCCTGGCCTCTTCCTCCATCTTCACAGTCAGCGGTGATAGGCTGGGAGGCCTTCTCATGCTGCCATCTCTTTGGTTCTTTCTCTTCTGCCTCCCTCTTCCACTTTTAAGAATTTGTGGTTAGCCCCATCTGGATAATCCAGGATAATCTCCTTATTTCAAAGTGAGTTAACAACTTTAATTCCATCTGTGGTCTTAATTTACATTTTTCATGTAAGTTCACATATTCACATATTCCAGAGATGAGTGTGTGGACATCTTTGGGAGGTCAATTATTTTCCTGCCACATTGGTAAAGAAAAAACTTTGCAATAAGCCGGGTGCGGTGGCTCACACCTATAACCCAGCACTTTGGGAGGCTGAGGCGGGTAGATCACCTGAGGTCAGGAGTTCGAGACTAGCATGGCCAACATGGTGAAATCCCACCTCTACTAAAAATACAAAAAATTAACCAGGTGTGGTGACACATGCCTGCAATCCCAGCTACTTGTGAAGCTGAGGCAGGAGAATTGCTTGAACCTGGGAGGCGGAGGTTGCAGTGAGCCGAGATCGCACCACTGCACTCCAGCCTAGGCAACAAGAGAGAAACTTTGTCTCAAAAAACAAAAACAAAAACAAAAAAACACTTTGCAATAAATAAGCAATCAGCTTTGTCTCATCAACACATTATGTTGGTGATATTTGGGGATACAGCTTTGATAAGCAATTAGCACCAACATGACCTACTTGCAGAAGCTTGTCATAGCTATTATTCTAAATATGGTAATAGATGACTATAATAATCCAAGCCAAGAATTATGACATTTTAAATCCAGACACACTCTTACTCCTAAAATGTCCTCAAATGGACTTTAACATATAAATATTTTAATTAGATTCTTTTAAATTCTTAAGATTATATGATGTAACCCAAAAGTGGGGCTGAAATGTCAGGTGACAATAACACCCAAATGGAGGTTTTACTCAGCACTTCCAGGCGCACCCCCTCAATATATACACACTCTTTACAAAAACATATTTGGAAGTGAATTCATTGTTCATAAGTAGTTGTGAATAGTTAGAAAATAGATTTTACACTTCACATTCAATAAAACTCCCACAGAATGTCAATTCTCATTATTCATGGATTTTGTATTTTCAAATCCACCTTC